CCTAAACCCTAAACCCTCAACTCTCCTGGGTTGCTCTTGGATGGAAACATAAAAACCGTCAAGTCGGTTACTGTCGAGGCACTCGCCTGGTCGAAGGAATTGCAGGGGGTTTAGGGTTTAGGGGTTTAGGGTTTAGGGTTTAGGGTTTAGGGTTTAGGGTTTAGAGTGTATGAACCGCAGTTATCATGAACTTATCCCGGGGTGTACCAGGCGACGCTTGCAAAAGCCTGTGAGATTTTCAGAGAAGACGGAGATCATCTGGTAGAAAAGCTCGTGCCAGATCCGGACAGCAATATCTCGAAACGGGACTGGGAGCATCAGTTCTGTGTGGCTAGGACCACGGTTTAGGGTGTAGGTTTAAGGGCTTAAGGGTTTAAGGGTTCAGGGTCTAGGGCTTTGGGTTTCGGGTTTCGGGTTTAAGGTTTAGGGAATGGTTGTGGAGATACTCACACAGGTTGATTTGAGTTCTGTTTTCCGTCGATCCCGATTCCCCGTGAAGATGGTTGAGCAGCACATCCACAATGCCACGCGCCGCTATCGGGATGAGTGGTGCTTGGACAAAGGAATTGCGCTGGACTTGTGAAAACAACTTGATGCAGACAGTGCTAGAAATGAGGACAGAAGACTCTCAAAGCCTGCAACCCTAAACCCTAAACCCTAAACAAACATGCTCAAGCTTGCACGATCCAAACCTCGCCCTTCAAAGAAAGCACAGTTCAATCTCCTCAGGATCTAAAATTCTACTCCAGCGTCCAACTTTCCTGTTGGCTTCTCCCATCAGCCTTGAGCCCTAAACCTACATCCTAAGCCCTAAGCTAATGAGTAGGTACTGTAACGAGGTAGTACCGTTCTCGAAACCTAAATCACCCGAAACGAGACGTCAGCATTGTTCCCGGACCCCAAGTCCTAGTCTATAAGTTGCTCTTGTTATCAAAGAGTTTAGACTTCTACTTCATTAATGAGGAAGTGAGATGGTGGAGTCAGGGCGTCAGGGCTTTCGGATCATGGTGTTTGAAGGTATTGCATACAAGTCTGGATAACTAGAAATACTATTCCTTGGGGCTCCTGTTTCCAGTACAATATCATACAACCCCCTAAATCCCATTCTAGATAGATAGGTAGATAAATAGATACATAGATACAT